GAAGGACTGGATGAACCAAACCTTGGTGCTACTTGCGTTGATAAGCTTAAGGTTTGTGTTCTTTGTCCTATGATTTTGATTCCAATGGCATTACCAATTTCAACTTCCCATTTATGCTAGAAAACAATGGATACCTACACTCAGAATCGGCAACAAGCGAAACTAGGTTATGATACTACATGGAAAGGAATTGTTTGCGTCGATGGACTCACAAAAGGTCCTGATGCCGATTTTGGCAACACTTGGTATAAGTAAATAATATGATTGATACCTTAACGCATTCATTATCAATATTCTAGTGCATGTTAATGAAACGCGATTTATTCTCATCATAAAAGCGATCATCATTTCCATTACGGATATTTAATATACACTGCAGCTATTTTACGCCATCTAGATGAAGAATGGGGAAAACAAAATGAAGATTGGGTTTATAATTTAATTCGTGATGTTGTAAATCCTTCCGAAGAAGATTCATATTTCCCCGTATTTCGATCCTTTGATTGGTTTAACGGGCATTCATGGGCAAAAGGTATTTTAATATTTTTCATTCCACCTGCTTTTCATCACGTATTTTCAAACGGTTAAACATTATAAACAGGATTATTTCCATCGGCGGATGGAAAAGATGAAGAATCCACTTCAGAAGACGTAAACTTTTATTACGCAACGAAACTTTGGTCCATCGCTTCAAACAGACCAAGTCTTACTCAACTTATGGATTTAATATTAGCTATTCTTTCAAGATCTTTAAGAAATTATTTTTTGATAGAAGATGATAATAAGAATCATCCAACAAAGTTTATTAAGAATAAAGTGACAGGAATATTATTTGAGAATAAAGTTGATTACACCACATACTTTTGTGCTGATGTTGGTGAGTTATATACTCTAAAATAGACGAGATTGTGATACTTGATGATTCTTAACGTGTATTTTACATTGTAGAATGTATCCATGGAATTCAAATGCTTCCGATAACACCTATAACACCTTATACGCGTGATAAAACCTTTGTAAATTTCTTTAAATGATTATTTAATTTATTCACAATTATATTTTCCAGCCTAAAATGCCTCTCTTTCTCTCAAACAGGTAACACAAGAATGGGACCAAAAATTAGGACCAATAATAAACTCTGTGAATAACACTTGGAAGTCGATCTTATACTTAAATTATGCAACAATAAATCCTGAAGCAGCATATCAATTCTTTTTAAATAATGGTGATATACCATTTGATGATGGGTTAAGTAGAACTTGGGCATTATTTTGGAGTTCTATTGCCGGTAGTAATGACACACTTTTGGAGAATGGTAAATAGAAATCACCAAAGTTATGAGCACTCAAGACATTTATTGGCATGGTTAAAGTACATATGGGGGGCCCCACAGCAAAAGGTAATGGGGCAAAAAATTTTTTTCTTTAGTTTTTTGATATTGTGTTCTAAATAATCTAATTTTTGCAAAAATAAAGTTTTTACAAAAAATTTTTTTTGGCCCATCACCTTTTTGCTGTGGGTAGGATGTTAACAGTCCGGTCTGGTCTATTTTTGTACAGTCCTAGTTCAGTTTTAATAATCTACAGTCTTAAGAATTGACCGGTTCAGACTGGTCCAGACCAGTCTGGTCTTAAGACTAAGGGCAGTCCAATTTTTTCAGCTTCAGACCGGTCTTAAGACTAACTGTGGTCTATCAGTTTAGACCGACCACATAACATCCCTAGCTGTGGGGCCTCCCATATGTTTTGTTGTATTATTTATTCTCGGTTGAAACATACATTGAACAGTTTTTTCAAACAATAAAAATAAAACACAACGACACACCCAAGTGTACCCCGTGTTTATGTTTAGGTTTACACAAGTACATCTGTTCCAACTTTTAAAGATAGTCTAAAGCGATGGTTTATTTTATCCAGCTATGATAGATAGTTGAGTTTTTAGCTTCGAATAGCTAACAGTGCCGGTTTTTCTAGTATCACAACCTTTTCAATAGAAACGAATTTTTGCCATCGTCATGCTTGAAATAGGGCAGGTTGGTTTTGTTTGCTGAGATAATCTTATAAAAACACGACTTTTGTTATTAAGGTGTAACGGTAATTAAAAAACAATTGTGTACTATTAAAACTTTCAAGTCGACAAAATGAATGTTTGTTTCCAAAATCAATGTATGTGTCTTGATAAGACGTATTAATGATCCAGAGCGTAAAAGTAGCAAATTAATATTATACTTAAAGATTTTATGCTGGTATATAGAAATAGTTAATATATAATATCCAGGTCTTAATTATAGAATATTACTTTTGAAAACACTATAAATGGTATATATTCGATTAAATCTAATATCTAGGCATGAAATAAGACTGTATTACTTTGATAAGGTCTTATTTACTGCAAGATTTACTATATCTTTTGCATGCTCAAGAAGTAAAATGTTTTCTATTGTCAAATAACTGCAGACACACCACAAAGAGTGTTTTAAGTCCATGAAATACTGTAGTAATCCACCTCGTCCTATATATTTCATGATAATGTATATTTTTCAGATAATATTAAAATTCTTACGTGTCCATTTATTAAACGATTGTTACTAGAGATGTGTCCTCGCTCAAGATGATTACGTCATTTTTATATTCATTTCGCAAGTAATTTGATAAATAGTGAAATCACAGTTAGTGGATTTATCTTCGTAAATTTGATATTATTTATCACTAAAAACTGTAATACATTAAATTACAATTTTGTCTCGGAGATCTATGTAAACATTTCGCGCAAACATATAGCGAAGCACATCTCTAATCGTAATACATCTGAAGTAAGCTTTCTGTATAAAGACTTGCGCACGATAGTTAACTATCACATACAAATTTCTTTGTTTTTACTGGTTAATATTACTTCAAGTAACTCGATATAAGAAACTTCAATATAAGAAACTCTTGATATAAGAAAGATTTTGTAAATCCTAATTGAAACTCTTATAATAAAAAGCCTCCAATGTAAGAAAATCTCGAAATAAGAAAGATTTTGGCTGAACCCGACAACTTTCTTATATCAAGAGTCAGTTGTATAAAATATACGCATTTCAATTGACCATCATATATCGATGTGGATTCTAGCGGAAATTTGCCAACACTCTCCGAGCCTAATACACGAACGTTTTCAATTTCAAGGTTTTTTTTTTTTTTTTTGCTAAGTCGACCAGCTTGGTAGGTCGTAAATTTTAATCTGTCGGAGATCGTTATATGGACTTAAAACTTAAATTGAATAATTAAATTGTACGTCACGAGTGGTCTAATCACATCAAATCATTAAAGCAAGTGCTTGTAAATTTGCTTTTTTGTAAATTTTGTATTTTCCTGAATGTATATATATCTTAATAGATCTATCAAAATTACTTAAAACCTTTAAAAATTAATGATCTGATTAATCACCTGATTAAAAGCTGGACAGTGCTAAATTCGGCGATCATCGATCTTTCAAGCCCTTTATTCAAATTATTATTAATG